CTCAGAGCCAGGACGGGATGCCTAGGGGTCCCCTCAATCTCCCCTCTGTCACAGCCCTGAGCTCCCAGATTGGACTGCCCAGCAGCACCCACAGAGGAGGGTATCAGGCCTCTCTGTGGCTACCACGAAACTTCTTCAGAAATGGGAAGGAAGGAATGCAGTTGAGAGATCAGGTTTAGCTTGAGGGCCTGGGGCACGAGTGACAAGCCAGGGCCTCGGGGGTCTCTGTGGCCAGGTGGAGGGAGGCCTGAGCACACGCTCTGTCCACTTCCTTCGCGTTCTGGAGTGGCCTGTGGCCAGGGCCCGCTCTGGACTCCCCCGTAGGTGTTCTTCCCCAACAGTCTCTGGAGGGAGAGCAGGCTGCTGAGACCCCGATGTAGTGCACCATGCCCCTCGGCCGAGCGCAGCTGTGAGCCGGAGATGCCGTGGGTGTGCATCTACTCCTCACTGACTTCCTGGAGAACAGAGGGTATTTATTTTAAGTCAAAAAAGATATTCTGACCAACCCCACTTAGCTAAATCCTGGCACTGACACTCGAGAGAGAAGCGAAATGCCGGAGGTCAGACTTTGCTTTTTTGGCTAAAATGCTTAATCAAAACACACCTAATACTTCTGCCGGGGTGCAGAGAAGTGGAGAGCCCAGAGCCACTGCCAGCAATCGACAAGCCAGCGGTGCGTGTGCTGAAGCTAAGCTAGCAAAATAAAGAGGGTTTTCAGCGAGGCAGCAGCCGGCCGGGGCGGACGCCAAGGCTGAGAGGCTCCGGGAGAGCGTCCGGCGGTTTTTCCACCGAGGTCGGCAGCGGGTGAGGAGGCCGAGTTGATGGCATTCGTACCTGCCAAGGCGGGCCATTAAATAGGGGCAGGCAGTTCCGGAACACGGCTCCAGCCCACCGTTCCAGGCTGTGCTTCTTTCTGGAAAGCCACCACCGGGCACTGCTTCCTCCAAGGGGCCGCTGCGCTGGGTGCCCCCACCGCAGGCCTTGTGTGACTGAGGAGGGCCCAGGAACCGGAATCGCGTGGCTCTTCCCTGCTGCCTGGCGGTCCTGCAGCTGTGGGTCAGTAGAGCCCCACGGCCCAGCAGCCACAGGCAACAGCCCATCCAAAGGGACCCGCTCAGGGGTCCACAGACAGAACCAGGAGCCTGCCTGGGAGCCAAGGCCTGTCCCCGGTGCAGGCCTGGCGGTCTCGGGTGGAGGCCTGCGTGGTCTGGTCGGTCTCTTGCTTGGTGCATCCTGAACTCTTAGGCAAAGTGTTGTCCAATGTCCCTCTGTGTCCCTATCCGATGACAAGCTGGGTGGGTGGGAACCTCCCCTAAGTCTATACTGGCTTCTCCAGGAACGGAGGGAAGGGGCCCAGACGCTATGACGGTGCGTTCACAGGGGTGCTCCTCCCCGTTGGAAGGGTGGTGGATGCAGTCACCCTCAGCTCCAGATCTATGTGACACGTTGTCCCTTAATGTAAGTTTAGGGACAGCAAGAGGGCCGTGGAGGCCACGCAGCTCCTGACGTGCCCTCTGTGCGTTGGTGTGGGGCAGTGACCCTGCTATAGGGTGGCTCTCTGGCTCCTCAGGGGAAGGTCCTCGTGTTGGTGCCTTGACCCAGGCTCCCTGGCTGGACTGATGATTGTGAGTGTGGGTGACCGGACACAGGCCAAGGGGCCTGTGGGAGCAGGCGGCAGGACCCACCAGGCCTGGGAGCGGATGGGCTGCCCTGGGATCCCTTCTCCTCAGGTGAGGCTTCAGCCCAAACTGTCCCCACATCCTCTCAGCCTGGCCTGGCTTCATCCACCAGGGGCCAGGAGTCTTCAGAGAGGAACCGGCCCCACCTCTGCCTTCCGCTGCTGCCTGGAGCCATCCTAGCTCATGGGCACCTGCCACCCCATCCGCCAAGTGGCCAGCACACCACATTTATCTCATGAAACGCCAGGAGGCTTGTGAGGCCACCAAGTTGTCGAAGGGCCCTGCCAGCCTTAGGACGTGGTCCAGGGGGGCACTGCCCCTCGACTGCCCCTGGCTGAGCTGGACCTGGGAAGGGCAGGAAGGAGGGAAGCCCACAGTGGGAAGCGGCTTGACCAGTGGAGGGCAGCGAGTGGGCTGGGCGGACATGGAGGGCAGCCCGTGCCCAGGGGGCACTACTGGCCAACAGGGCGCGAACCTGGGCCCTCTGGCTATGGGCGTGCAGTGCTGGGGGCCTCCCTGACCACCTCTGTCTCCCTGCCCACTCCAGGGGGGCGGCTTTCTACAGGTGCAAATGGACAGAGTGGGGCTCTGGCTCGACTGGGGTAGGAGGCCACCTGAAAACACCCGACCAGAGCCCACCAGGCCAAGGGTGGGGCCCAGCGCAGCGCTCAGGGCTCCAGGATGTGTGTGAACGGCGGGCAGGCCGGCCCTGGGGAGTGCAGGCTGGGGTGTGCTGGCCGTGCAGAGACGTGAGCAGCGAGTTCCGGCACGTGTGCGGGGTGCAGGCAGCTGGGCCCGGGTAGGCTTCAGCCCCCTAACCGTGCCTTCGGAAGCCAAGGCTGCAATACAAGCCTCTCCCTCATCTTGGGGAGCCCCAGGGTCACTACTGTGTTGGGGCATCCTTCCACCAGAGCTGGGACAGCCCAGGTGTCCCCAGCCAGAGCCAGCCCGGGGAGGCCTCCAGAGCCCCACCTGCAGCCAGGCTCCCAGGCCTGGCCACACTCTTCTCCACAAGGCTCTTTTTCTGACCTTGACAATGACCTTGATGCTCATGTGGGCCACCATGGTATGAGCAAGGACCTTGCTGCCCAGAGGAGGCAGCCTGGAAACTGTTCCTAAACGTCACATGGCATTTTTGGACAGGCTCAGTGGGCACTTGGGGATTCTCAAAGCTCCATCCCTGGGAAGGGTCCCCAACAGGGACCTGCCAGGGAGGGCGTACCCAGCCTGGTGGCTGCTCAGGCTGCGTGGGGCCTCCTTTGACAAAGCTTGATGCAGGAGGAGGGTGGGAGATGGGTGAGGCTTGAGGGCCACCCAGGCAGAGGTGGCCGTGTCCCTGTGCAGCAGTGTCTGGCTGAGGCAGTACGGGACATGGGGCTGAGTCAGCTCCAAAGAAGGGTCCTCCCAGTGGCCCCGGCCCCCAGGGCTGAATCTTGCCCCAGGGACACCAGACACCACTCTCCTTGAAAAGACGAGAACCCTGGTTTTCTCCTGGCTCAAGCTGCACCCCGAAGCCAGGAGGTGACGACCCCTCCCCCCACTCCTCTCCTAGAAACTGTGGCACAGACACCCCGCCCTGTGCAGTGCAGACCCAGGCCTCTGTCCTCGCTGGGGACGTGTCCAGGTGCAGGCCAGGGCAGATCTGTCTGTATCTCTTCCAGGAGCCTCTGGGGAGCATGGCTTCTCGGAGATCCAGGTGGTCAGCTTCACTCTCTCCTCCTGCCTCCGCACTGGCCGAGCCTTGGGCCGCCCTTCCTGGCCCTGGGTTCAGGAGTGAAGAGCAGACAGACGAGGGCAGAACACAGCCTTCTGCAGCCTCCCCGCTGAGCCTCCCCTTCCCCGCGCAGGCCCAGGCAGAGCTTGGTGACCTGGCGGTTGGCGAGTCTCTGCTGGACACTTCTCGGAGCCTCACTGTGGGGTTCACCATCCTCTGTCTCCCTCTCTTTCTTCACTTACAGCCACTTTCCAAACCACATTTTCAGAATCTGTTAAAAGAAGCATAAAATTCCCAACTGGTCAGAATCCCACACGGGGAACATGCCTTCTTGTTATGACAGCTGGGCGGGCACGCGCGCCAGGCCTTGGAACACGGCGCCCGGGTCCTCTCCCAGGCTGCATGGGCTCCGGTGGCACCAGGGTCCTTGCCAGGGGAGGGGAAGAGAGCTCTGTGTGTGACACCCTTCCTCGTTTCACTTTTCAGGAGTCAATTTCAGACTTGGTTTCCCTCTAATCTACACGTGTGAGTCCACGGGAGGCCCTTTTGACCCAGGGGACAGTCCAACACTTACAGCTCATGTGTCGGTTTACTCAGCTTAGAAAGCCCTCTGGGACCCGACCCCACGTGCCGCCCTCTGGAGTGGAACGTGTTGGTTTGGGGGAGTGATGCTGGGCGAGATGCCACGGCTGTCCTGAGCGGGGCCAAGGAAAGCTCCGCGTGGAAGCTCCGCGCCAGGGGGGAGCGCCAGGCGGCGGCCACTCCTCCCCGTGGTCACCAGGCTGGTCCAGGAGCAGCAGGAAGGCAGGTGGTCCCGTGCTGCCGGGAGGCCGCAGCTTGCAGGGAGGGTCTTGTGGACGCACAGGGCGCTTCCCGGAGGCCACACACTGCGGCTCTCGCCTCGGCCTGCCTTCCTGTGAGACGCCTCCATCTTCCCAGGGACCTGGGGCTCTCTAAAGGGCAAGACCCAGGGCGACCACCTCTGACTTGCCAAGCAAGAGGAAGCCGAGGGACGGGCCTCCCCCGTGACCGCTGCCCTCGCTGGTGCCTCCCCACGTCCCCCTGCTCTGCTGGGACTGGGCTGTGCTCCCCTGAGCTCTGCCTCCCAAGCCAGACTGGAAGCTGCTGCACGGCCGTGGCCACGTCTGCCCTCTCACCCTTTGCTAGGCAAACACGGGCAGCTGGCGCTCCACATGCTTTGCTGGGTTTGTGGGTGGAACGCAGGGGAAATAAGGCGGAATCCGGCGCACATCCCGGGGTGCTCGTGCCCCTGATTTTGTAATGACATGTGTGGCTGGCCTTTGGAGGGACCTCACCCAGTTCCTGCAGGGCAACAGTGGAGCTACGCAAAGTGGCTCCATCTCTGAGGTGGAGCCATTAGGAACCAGTGACAGTGCTTCCAGGGGGAAGGTGTCCTCTGGGCTTAGAGTCCTCAGCCCAGGGGTCCCAGGAGCCTCAGAACCCTTTGTGTCCCGCGTGGAGACGCCGCAGGGCCTGGTCCCATTACCGCAGAGGACAGCAGGATCTGCCCAGACGTGCAGCCTGCTGTATGTAGCTTGAGCCTGGTGCTCCAGAAACTAACGGCTGCTCTTGAACTTGTCTTGCAGCAAATGCTCACGGATCCCGAGGTGCCGTCCCAGGAAGGCTGCATCCGAAAGGTAGGAGAGCTCGTCCCGTCCTCTCCCCGTCACGTGCTCCCGTCCCTGGGTAGAGGACTGTGTGATTTGATTGTCCGCGGGACACCATGTGGGTTCTCCGTTGCTGCCCTGCTGGTGTCCAGGAGCAACGCGCCATCAGGGGCCACGTGTGCTCAGCGCCGTGCCTGGGGTACTCGGGGCAGACGCTCGTTTTCCTTGTGGAGGCAGGTAGGGTCACTGCACAGAGCCATCTCATTCGTGAAGACAGGAGAACCTGTGGGCGCGCCTGGGGCCAGGCAGATGGGTGCAAAGCAGACAAAGGCAGGTTGTGTTGACTTAGCCATTTTCACGGGATACTCACATGAAGAGAATCTGGGGGAGGCCACTGGCGGCAGACCCAGCAAACCTGTTGTATAAGCAAACCATCGGGAGAAAGCAAAGGTGTCAGCCTGGGCACTCTCCAGTCCCCGCTGACGGGGGCTGGATACGAAATGACAGGCACCAGCTCTGAAAGATCCAGAAAGGCAGCAGGGGCAGGTGAGCCACACCTGGGCCTCGTGTGAGCCGGCATCGGGACAGCCAGGGGCAGGAGCTGACCTCTGAACCTGGACCCACTCGCCAGGTAGAGTCCAGCATGCACCCAGGATGAGCCTGAGTCCACAGGCCTGCAGACACACCAGGACACGTGTGTGTGCACTCAACCTGCAGCTGATCTCGTGTCTGGGATTTCAGTGGTGTCCTCCCTCTGGGCATCTTGGCTCTGAAACTAGAGGAAATGCAGAGCCCCCGACTCGTGCTGCACCAGGCTCTGCTAGGCGGCTCCGCGCGGGCGCTGGGGAGGCCGAGCCAGCCCTGACCACCAGCTCCCAGTGGGTGCGGCTGGCTTGCTATTAAACTCACCAGCAGGCCCTGCTGACCTTGTGGGATGACTGGGCTGAGCGTCTGGGCACAGGGGAAGGCAAGGTGGTGCCAGGTCGGCCGGCGGGCTGCACCACGGCAGGGGCCGGCTCCCCCAGGCACTGAGTCGGGAGGACACATGGTGTGGCAGGTGTTTTCTGGCCCTGAGGTGGCTCCTGAAGGACCTCCGGCCCTGGCTGAAGCTCTCACCTTCCTCATCCCCATCTCTGTGGGCTGTTCAGCCCCGGAGGGACCCTTCTGGGGGACAAGGTGTCTTTCTCAGTCCCCGCTGCCTGCCCGAGGTCTTCCTTCCTTCAGGGGTTTGCTCTGTGGCTCAAATTGTGGCGATGTCTGTCCCTCCCTCCCTCCCGCTCCTTCCCTGCCTCTGAGTGAACTTGTATCTCCCAGAGGGCAGAGGGCAGCACAAGACAGGAAGCAGCTTTCCTGCCTTCCTGCCCTGAAGCGGGCTGCCGTGGACTCTGACCTCGCGCCGTCTAGAGCGGGCACGAGACCTTGGTCTCCCCGCCGCCACTGCACAGGGCACCACGCCAGGTGTGTGAGCCCCCTGATGGGCGGTGGAGGCAGCCTGGCAGAAGCTCCAGGTCCAACTGGGTGCTGGGATGGGTGGAGGCCCCCGAGGATGAGAGTCCAGGCGGGAGGTCAAAAGGTCAAGTATAAGTTGAAAGGGCCATGGGAAGAGGCAAGCGCTGCCCACTTTTGAACCAGACCCAAACAAGACAGGATGAGCACATCAGTGGTCTCCCTCCCCTGTCCACCAGCGGCACTGTCTGTGATCTGCCTTGTGTTGTCTAAATGGTGGGACCCGAACGAGGTCTTGTCTGCTGAGGCCCAAGTTTGTTGTGCTGCCTGTGGTGCAAGGTGCTGAGTGGCCAGGCACCCACTGGTACCTGCCCCGTGTGCTGGAGCAACCCATCAAATGCAGGTCCCTGTGAAGCTCACTGCAGCTCTTCAGGCTGAGGGGCTGCTCAGATCCAACCCCAGGGCAGCTGAGCACCAGGGAGGTCGCTGATGGGCTCCAGAGCCCAGGGTATGTGGGCAGCTGGCTCTGTCCTGGCTCCCAGCCCAGCCCTCTCCTTCCCACTGAGCTGCAAGGGGAGGGTGGGGGCCTGCTGAGGGGCATCCTCACCCATGTCCGCCACCACCTCCCACCAGACTGAGAAGTTGCCACTCAGGGCCCCCGGCGCGTGGGATCCCATGATTTCCAGCCTCGGAACTTGGCCGTCAGTAGCATTCAGGGGCCCTGGTGCTTGCCTGCGGTGGGATGATCAAAAACCCAAGCCGGTGCTCAGGTCTGGGAGGGCAGAGGGGACTAGACTCAGAGAGGAGCAATGGGGGTCACAGGTCAAGGCAGGAAGACAAGACAGGGCCCATTTGCGTCTCTTCCAAGCTGAAGCCTTGGGAACAGACAGGTTACTACAGCTATGGGTAATTCGAACATAGATACAATTTGTTTGTTGCTAATGTAACCCCACGTGCCCTAGTGTGCCATGGTAAGGGTGAATTCAGTGAATTCTGTAGTTGGGGTCACCCAAAGACGTTCACACTTGCATTAAAAACATAACAGAGAAGCAGGGCGCTGGGAGGCTGTGTGACCTGCTCAAGTGACATCTCAGAGCTTCCCTTTGGCATTCCTGGGAAGGCTTATACTTCCTGTCTTCTGTCTGCTTCAGTGAGATGCAAAGGAGTTAGCTAATTCTATGGGGGCTTGACCCGTTGGTGCAGAAGGGTGGTTTAGGGGTCAGTCGCTATTATAAATTCTACGCGTTGGAGAGAAGGTTCCTGCAGGGACCACAGAGCTCACAGGCCAGGGACCACCCAGCAGCGGTGGAATTTGAACCCAGGCCCGCGGCGGGGCGGGGGCTCCCATCCTAGCGACAGCCTGTGAGCAGCACCTGGCCTGAGCCCGCCCACAACCGCAGTCCCCTTCCCCACCGCCACCCAGTGCCCCTGCCCCACTCCTCCTTCATCTGCTCCTGGTGACCCCGTCCCCCTTTCCCTGTCCCCTCGCCCGCGCCCTCGTGACCGCGCAGCCCCCGACACCGCTCTTCTCTGCCGCCGTCCCGGTGCCTTGGCCACCTCGCGGCCCCGGGGCTTCCTGAAAAGTCGCTCTGGCGGGTCGCTGGGCCGCGTCCCTCTCCCAGCGTGGACCTCGGGGACGCCCCTGCACCGGGACTCTATTTAGTCTCTGTTTACTTAGAGGGAAAGCCCGGGGCTCCTGGAGAGCAAACATCTGCGGGAGATAATCTAGCGAGTTGTCCATCCATCACCGGCCGCGCGGCTCCCTGGAGAGCGCGCGGAGCCCGTAATAAAAAGGCCGAGCGAAGAGGCTTTGGGGACGAATAAAGAGCCGCGTGAAGGGCTCGCGGAAAATGGATGGAAGACGTTATTAAGGCTCAATGGCCGTCTTATCAAAATCCAATAGGATAGACATTTGGCAAAAGGCTTAAATTTATTCTTTGACTTTCTGGAGGGCTTGAATTTATCCGTTAACAAGAGTGTAGTCCACCCGGGGTGATGGTATCAGCCGAAAGAATTTTGATTCAATCTCTTCGGTGATATGAAAAGGGGAAACACAGCCCCGCGGCCTTTCCCTTTGTCCCACTTTATCTTGTTTTCTTTCACCGTCTTGAAAAGGAAGGACGGTTAATACAGTGCTACAGTGCGGCCGGAGAAAACAGACGGAGGAAGTGCCCTCCCCCTTTTGTGTTTTTATTTTCTCTCCTCCTCCCCTTCTGTACTCCCGCCACCAAACACATCCTTCATCCCGCTTACATCATTAGGACTTGGACCACAGACCTGAAAAGGTACCACTCTGAGGCTGCCGGAAAGGAGCAGCCCAGCCAGCCCCAGGGCGCAGGGCAGGTGCCAAGGAAGCAGCCCTGATGGGTCCATAAATCTCCCCCACCCCCAGCCCCCTTGTTATTATCTACAAAATGCTACAGGTCATAAAAGTCACCTGATAGCCCAGCCTCCTGTCCCCCAAACAGGGTGATTGATGGATAATTATAATCTGTGGGATGATTATTTGGGCGTTAGAACCGGGGCCTCTCCCGCGGGAGGTTCTCTGGCCGTGTGCTTCTGTGTGGCCCCAGGCAAGATGCCTCTGGGAACAGGACTCCCAAAGGTTCCCGGTCCCCGGGAGGGACTCCCTAATGAAGGGTGACTCTGTGCCGGGGGTGAGAGGTCAGCGTGTCCAGGGAGGTGGGAGCAAAGACAGGAGCAACTGCCCAGAGTCCTCTGCGAGGCAGCCACTTGGAGGCCCCGACCGACCGACCGACCGACCGACCGACTGACCGCGGCCTGGGCCGTCTGCAGGGTGAATTTGTGGCCTTGCTAGGCTATTGAGCTCAGCACAGCACCGGGTAGCCAGGGGTTGAGATCAGCTTGGTGGCCTGGTGTGTGTCGTCCGCTTGGTGGCCTCCTGGGGGAAGCAGAGGCATTTTCCGTGCATGTGGATGAGGGCTGGGGAGGAAGAGGAGGGCGGGCGAGGGAGGTGGCTGGGAAGGCCTGAAGCAGCGGAGCTGGAATGAGAGGCTGCCCTTCACGCATGGGCTCCCTCTGGCATTCCCTGGCGCCCGAGGCACGCCATCATGCCCCTTGCCTGGGTGTCCTTGGTTATTCTGAGGTCTGTGCCTTTCAGGTGAGTTTCCAAAATCCTATTCCTTCAGTGTTTCGAGATGCCTCTGGAAACAGGACTCCCAAAGGTTCCTGGTTCCTTGGTTGCCCCCCTAAACAGCCAGCCTGCTGGCACTCAGAACTCAAAGCTCTGCCATCGACCTGCAGTTTTCCTACAAATGTAATTAAAAAAAAAAATCACACCAGTCTCTAACCCTAAGAACCCTGCAATCAAAATTATTAATTTGCATGTAGGATCAGTTATGTCTTTATGAAACCAAAGTGTGTTTAGCTGCCCCGGAGACAGCCCCGAGTTGATTTTGATAATCTCAGGCTGAATAGACTTGCCTCGTCGCAGTAAGCCGGGGACAAAAGGCTGGACAGTGTCTGAAAGCCCTTTGACGACACGTCTCTCTTTCCATTGTTCGGGGGCTGCTGATAAAAGAACCGGGAGTCCATTAATTCAGTGAATGAACATATCGTAAAGT